CCAAAAACTGCATTTCAGCAATGAAACTTCCCTAGTTTTTCACAAGATTTGCATAGAGTCCCTTAGAGGTCACAATATTGAATTTAGCTAGAAAGAGGGGGCATTTTGACTATTCTAAGGCCTAAAATACCGCTGAAATGATGCCCTTAAGGCATCAAACTACATAGTTATCAGTGGACATGAAGCTAATGGAGTTTATCTTCTTGATTAGTCTCCAATGTTAGGGTTGATGTGTCAGTTTGTGTCTTGTCATGATGAGAAACTAAGTCAATTAAAATTATGGCATCATCATCTTGGGCATGTGTCTTTTGGTTCCTTGAAGTTTTTGTTTCCTAGTTTGTTTGAGTCCTTGTCTAGTTCTGGTCTGCAATGTGAAGCCTGTCAACTATCAAAGTAATGTAGAACAACCTTTTTATGCAAGTAACAAAACAAGTAATGTTGTTTTTCATTTAATACATATTGATGTTTGGGGACCTTATCCCATTCCATGTATGGATGGCTATAAATATTTCATTCTCTTTATTGATGACTACTCGCAGTATACTTAGTTGCATTTAATGAAGAGCCGATATGAAGTTCCTTTAATTGTGAAAGACTTCTTTAGTATGGTGGAGACATAGTTTGAGAAGAAGATTAAGATTATTAGATCTGACAACGCTAAGGAGTACTTTGAGAAGCACTTAAAAACCTTCTTTGAAGCAAAATGTGTGATTCACCAGAGTTCTTTCCCTCATACTCCCCAACAAAATGGGGTATCAAAGAGGAAAAACAACCATGTTATTGAAGTTGCCAGAGGCTGTTATTCCAGATGCATGTTCCAACTCAGTTTTAGGGGGATGCTACTCAAACAACTATATATCTTATTAACAAAATTCCCTCATGGGCCTTGTATCTCTAGTCTCCTCATCAAGTTCTTTTTCTTGATGAGGATACATTCTATCTTCCTCCCATGGTTTTTGGGTGTGTTTGCTTCATCCATAAAATGTGTCATTCTAGGCTAAAATTTGATCCAAAGTCTATCAAGTATGTCTTCTTGGGATATTCTTCAGTCCAAAAGGGGTGTCGTTGTTATGACCATTGTTTTTGGAGAAAAGGTATGCATCCAAATATGTCACATTCTTTGAGTCTACTCCCTTATTCTCTGTCTCTCGTCCTTCTCTTCAGGGGAAGGATGTTAGTAAAGATTGGACTCCCTTTTGTATGCTAATTCCTACAATTGATGCTGTCAATCCTTCTCCTCCTCCTCCTCCTCCTCCTCCTTGTGGTCGTAGTAGTCCTCCTCCCATGCCTCCTCCTATTCTTTGGTCTTAGCATCAGTTGTTCGTCAAACGAAGAAAGAGGATGACTCCAGAGATTGAATGTCCATTACAATTTGACCTCCCGGACTCAGGTAATTTGGATTCTGAACATCTTCCTATTTCGGATGCCTGTGTTGAATCTATTATTGAGCCTCCTCTTGTAGATTCTGACCTTAACCTTCCTATTGCAATTCATTAAGCAAGACAGGCATGTGCTAAGTATCCTATCTCAAACTATGTCTCTTATGATACTTTGTCACCCTCTTATTGTGCCTATATCTCTTCTATTGCTTCTGTTTTTATCCCTCATAATGTTATCGAGGCAGTGCAGTTCCCTCATTGGAAGGATGCTATGAACCAGGAAATGGAGGCACTCAAAAAAAAAAAAAAAAAGACATGGGAAATTGTCTCTTCCAGAAGGCAAAAATCCTGTTAGATGAAAGTGGGTTTACATGGTGAAGTATAAAGCTGATGGCTCAATTAAAAGGTATGAAACTCGACTTGTGGTAAAAGGGTACTGATAAGCCTATATCTGTACATATTTTCATACCTCTAACTTGATGATTTTGGATAATAATGTTTTTAGAATTACCATGGTATTGCACTAATTATGATGAAATTATCTTGCAAGATGATTTGGATCTTAATTGTGCAATTTTAAGGAGTTCGATTTAATTGATCAAGATAATCATAGAGGAAGGACCATGCAGCAATGATGCTCCATGATGTAGCCATGAAGGAGAGAATCCATTGAAATCGGATTTGATATGTATGCAAAAAAATTGGGAAATTTCTTATTTTGATATAGTTCCCGTATTTTGGGCATAATTTTCTTCCTACAACTCGGATTGAGGTGATTCAAACGGATAATTAAAGATAAGAAAAAGGGCTACAACTCTTGTGTTTATCATTCAACCTAATCCCTCCGCCAACCTAGTGCAATTCGAGCTACAAGTTTCGGGTCTGGTAGTTGGCAGTGCAGAAGAGATAGGAATTCAACTGAGATAAAGACTAAAAAACCTAATTTGTATTGAATTAGGAGTCTGCATTGAGAAGCAATTGATGGGGAGGCTACACTATAAAAAGGGCCATAGACTCAAGGCAAAGGAGCACATCCTTAGAGAGAATTCAGTAGAGAAGAGAAGAGGAAGCAATCTTAGCACATCAGAAGAGAAGAGGAAGCAATTTTAGCATGCCAGAGAAGGAAAGGAAGAGTTCGAATTCAAGAGGGAGAAAGGCTTAGTTGCTGCACTTGTCTTCTACCTTCAAAGGCTAAAGTTTTCTTGTTACTCTATTCATTCTTCGATGTGTTCTTGCTGTGTTTCCTCTTTAATTTTCTTGAGTATGTTGAATTTAATGATGTCTAGCTAAATTCTCTTAGCTAGGGTTTAGATTGATTTTGATCTTAAGATTATATAGTTATTTGTTTAATTCAATTCAAGACCATTATTATTTGCATGAGAAATTTTTATTGCTATGCTTAATGCTTTAAAAGAATTAGTCAATATTTTAATGATTTGATGATTCATGCATGACTGACCAAAGTATTATTATGAATTAGATCCCTAGGCAATAAAAATCGCACGATAGACTATAATATTGAAAGATGATTAGCTCATGTGTGAGAATCAAGAAAGCTCAGTGAGTCAAATCCCCTTCTACGATTAGAGGTTTCCAAAGAAATTAATGCTTATTTTTCCTTTTGACAATCACTTAGAAATTTGATGGTAGAATTGGATTAATAAAGGATTAATATGACTTGAGAAAGCTTATTAACTAATTTAGGAAAATCCACCATCACATGCAAATAACTTTAATATACCTTAGGGTAATTTCGGTCTTGAGTTGGATTAAATAGGTAATTATGTAACCTTGATTTAATGAAATCTAAACCCTAACTGCATTCATCCATCAATTCAGCTTTTATTAAGTTCTTGGATTTGCATTAATTCTTTTAGTTTTTATTCATTCAATTTATTCATGAGTTCAACTTGCGTTAGTTTAAAATGATTTGGTACTGTGATCTAGTATCTATGGGATCGACACTTTTCTCATCATTATACGCACATTTGACTAAGTTACACTTACCTGAATTAATTGTGTATAAATCACACAACAAGTTTTTGGCGTCGTTGCTGGGGACTAGTTTATTGCATATCAAAACTACCTGAATTAGCCTTAGATTGAACATCTATTAGTTTTATTTTCGGATTTAAAATTTTCCATTTCAATTTTTGTTGGGTTCAGCCTTATAAAATTTTTTAGGAAATTTTTAATTTTTTCTCTTTCTTTTTCTTTTCTTTGAAGGTTCCTAGTGCATGACACGCACTAGTGGTGGAAAATTAATACCCTTGATCAAGAAATCGAAAGGACATTGAAAAAGCGAACGAGGGAGAGAAAGAACAAGATGACTCAAGACCAAAATAATCCAAGGACATTGATCTCCTACGCTATACCTACTCTGAATGGTACTACATCAAGCATTAGGAGGCCGAATGTGCAAGCAAACAATTTTGAGATCAAGCCTTCAATTATTCAGATGATCCAGATGAGTGTGCAATTTTCTGGCCCCAATTATGATTCTAACTCTCATATTGCTAATTTTCTTGAAATATGTGATACTTTTAAGCATAATGGAGTTAGTGATGATGCCATTAGACTTAGGTTATTTCCTTTCTCCTTAAGGGACAAAGCAAAAGATTGGCTTAATTCTCTTCCTACAGGTTCGATTACTACATGGGATGACTTGGCACAAAAGTTTTTATTTAAGTATTTTCCACCTGCTAAAACGGCTAAATTAAGGAATGACATAACAACTTTTTCTCAATTTGATAATGAAACCTTATATGAGTCGTTGGAGAGATTTAAGGAATTGCTTAGGAAGTGTCCTCACCATGGTCTACCTGTTTGGATGCAAGTGCAAACTTTTTATAGTGGCATTAATCAATCTAATCGTTCAATGTTAGATGTAGCTACAGGTGGTACCCTTATGAGAAAAACACCCGAAGAAGCATATGAACTTTTGGAGGATATGGCAACCAATAGCTATCAATGGGGCAATGAGAGAGCAAATAAAAAGGGAGTTGGAATTTATAATGTTGATTCTATCACTGCTTTATTGGCTCAACTTGCTGCATTAAATAAGAAATTGGAAAGTTTGGGGGTTTCAGCTATGAATGTTTCTTCTGTAAAGTTTGTGGACAAGGGGGACACGCTAGTGTAGACTATCAAGTAGGAAATCCATTTTTTTCTTCTTCTGAACAAGCGAATTTTGTTTCTTATGGTGGCAACAGGTCCAATTTCAATCCCTACTCCAATACTTACAATCCAGGATGGAGAAGCCATCCAAATTTTTCTTGGAGTAATAACCAACAAAGAGTACCTCCTAGCTTTCAGCAGCAACAACAACAAAATTCACAAGAGAAGAAGCCAAATTTAGAGGATATGATGGCAAAATTTATCAACAGTACGGAGGCAAGAATTCAAGGGATAGAAACTCAAATTGGACAACTTTCTTAAGCAATTTCAGAAAGGCCACAATGAGGATTACCTAGCAATACCGAGAAGAATCCCAGGGAACAAGTAAAGGCCATCACTCTGCGAAGTGGAAAAGTACTTAGAAAAGAAGAAAAAGATGATGAGCAGGTAAAAGAGGAACAAAGCCAAAACCTTGAAGCCAAAGAAGGAGACCATGAGTCATCAATGGAGAAAAAGGGAAGTTCTACTCTTAATTTAAAATCCTACAAACCTCCTCTTCATTTTCCTAAAATATTTCTTAAGGCTAACTTGGATAAGCAATTTGCTAAATTTCTAGAGGTGTTTCAAAAGTTGCATATTAACATTCTTCTTCTTGATGCTATTTCTCAGATGCCAAGTTATGCCAAATTTTTGAAGGAAATAATTTCAAACAAAAGAAAGTTGGAGGAGTTTGAGATGGTAAAACTTAATGAGGAATACTCAACAATCCTACAAAATAAATTACCTCCAAAACTCAAGGATCCAAGGAGCTTCTCTATTCCGTGCACCATTGGCGAAATTAATTTTGATAAGGCTTTATGTGATTTTGGTGCAAGCATTAATTTGATGCATTTTTCTGTCTTCAGGAAGCTTGGGTTGAAGGAGCCAACACCTACCACTGTTTCTCTACAATTGACTGACAGAAGTATCAAATATCCAAGGGGAGTAGTGGAAGATGTTTTGGTAAAAGTAGATAAATTTATTTTTCTTGTTGACTTCATCGTTTTGGACATGGAAGAAGATTATGATATGCCCCTAATTTTAGGGAGACCTTTTCTTGCCACAGAAAGAGCTTTAATTGATGTCCAACAAGGAAAACTTAGCCTTAGGATTAATGATGAGGAAGTTATTTTTAATGTGTTTAAGGCTATGAAACATTCTAATAATGAAAAAGAAGTCTTAATGAAATATTGTATTGATGATTTGGTAGAAATAAAATTTCATGCATTTAGGTTAGATGATCCTATAGAAAATTGCATTGCTAACTCTTTTAATGTGAAGGAACAAATTTTAGATGAGAGGCATAAGGAGGCTATAGGCTATTTGGGAGAAAAGCAAAGAGGATGCGTGAGAAAAAGAGAAAAATTTTTGCCTTTGGATATTTCTTCCTCTTCTTCAAAAGCCAAGCCATCAATCGAGAAGCCTCCTACTCTTGAACTTAAACCTCTTCCTTCGCATTTAAAATATGTTTATTTAGGGAATTCATCTACCTTACTTGTGATTATTTCTTCTTACTTGACAGGTCTTGAAGAAGAAAAGTTGATAAGGGTGCTTAGGGAACACAAAGGGGTAATTGGATGGAGCATTGGTGACATTCAAGGAATAAGTCCATCAGTTTGCATGCACAAAATCATGATGGAAGAAGGATTCAAGCCTATGGTGCAGCCCCAAAGGAGGTTAAATCCTAATATGAAATAGGTAGTAAAGAAAAAAGTGATAAAATGGCTTGATTTAGGTATTATCTTTCCTATCTCTGATTCTTCTTGGGTAAGTCCATGCAAGTTGTGCCAAAAAAGGGTGGGGCCACTGTAATCGAAAAATGAAAATAATGAATTAATCCCTACAGGACAGTAACAGGTTGGAGGGTATGTATCGACTATAGGAAATTAAATGATGCTACTAGAAAAGATCATTTCCCCCTTCCCTTTGTTGATCAAACGATTGAAAAACTTCCTGGTCAGGAATTTTATTGTTTTCTTGATAGTTATTATGGTTATCACCAAATTCCTATTGCTCCTGATGATTAAGAGAAAACTACCTTTACATGCCCCAATAGAACATTTGCATTTAGGAGAATGCCTTTTGATTTATGCAATGCCCTTACTACTTTTCAAAGATGCATAATGTCTCTATTTTTGGATTTCATTGATGATTTTATGGAGATATTTATGGATGACTTCTCTATTTTTGGATCTTCATTTGATGCATGCTTGCATAGTTTGTCTTTGGTGCTTAAAAGATGTGAGGAATCTAATCTTGTTCTTAATTGGGAAAAATGTCATTTTATGGTTAAGGAAGGAATTGTTTTAGGCTACAAAGTATATTTTAAAGGTATTGAAGTGGATAGAGCTAAAATTGAATTAATTGAAAAACTTCCCCCTCCAAAATCGTTGAACAAAGTTAAAGGTTTTTGGGACATGCAAGTTTTTATAAAAGGTTCATTAAGGACTTTTCTAAAATTGCCAGGCCTCTAACTAATCTTTTAGTGAAGGACACACCGTTTGTGGTTGATAGTGCTTGTTTGCATGCATTTAATTGTTTAAAAGAGAAATTGATCCAAGCTCCCATAGTTTCGGCTCCTATTTGGAATTTGCCTTTTGAGATCATGTGTGATGCAAGTGATGATACTTTAGGTGCAGTTTTAGGACAAAGAATAGATAGGAAATTTCATACCATTTATTATACAAGTAGAACCATGAATGAGGCACAAAGAAATTATATAACAACTTAAAAGGAACTACTTGCTGTAAAATTTGCTATTGAAAAATTTAGACCTTATTTGATCTTGTCTAAAGTGATTGTCTATACTAACCATTCTGCATTGAAATATTTACTTGCTAAAAAAGATGCAAAACCTAGGTTGATAAGATGGATTTTATTGTTGCAAGAATTTGACCTAGAAATCAAAGACAAGAAAGGCATCGAAAACATGGTAGCTGATCACTTGTCTAGATTGGATGAAGAGTATGTGGAGAGCATGGATGAACACCCTTTGCATGATGAATTTCCTGATGAGAAATTATGTTTTGTGCATGATAATGATGAACTGTGGTATGCTGATTTTGCTAATTTTCTTGTAGGTGACGAATTGCCCCTAACATTTCTTTTCATCAAAAGAAGAAAATTTTATCTGATGTAAGGCTCTATCTTTGGGAGGAACCATATATATACAAGATTTGTGCTGATGGCATGGTGAGAAGATGCATACCAAAGGAAGAAGTGCGGAGTATACTTAGTTTTTGTCTTGACAAAGAAGCTGGTGGACACCATGGACCATCCAAGATGGCGGCGAAGGTTTTACAAAGTGGAATTTATTGGCCTACATTATTCAAGGATGCTTATGCCTATGTAACTTCTTGTGATCGATGCCAACGAACAGGTAATATATCAAGGAAAAATGAGATGCCCCTAAACAACATTCTTATTTGTGATATTTTTTATGTTTGGGCCATTGATTTCGTGGGTCATTTTCCAAAATCCTTCAAAAATTAGTATATACTTGTTGTTATTGATTATGTGAGTAAATGGGTGGAAGCAATTGCATGTCCCATTAATGATGTTAAGGTTGTAATCAAATTCTTGAAAAAAAATATTTTTACTAGATTTGGTACACCAAGGGCTATCATTAGTGATGGAGGTAAACACTTTTGTAATAAACAGTTTGATAATTTATTAATTAAAAAAGGTGTTACCCATAAGATTGCTACCCCCTATCATCCCCAAACTAGTGGATAAGTAGAAATTTCAAATAGGGAATTGAAAGGTATTTTGGAAAAGACTGTGAGCTTATCTAGGAAGGATTGGTCAATGAAATTGAATGATGCACTTTGGGCCTATAGGACAGCTTTCAAAACATCCTTTGGAATGTCTCCTTATAGGTTGGTGTTTGGTAAGGCGTGTCACCTCCCTGTTGAATTAGAGCATAAAGCATATTGGGCAATGAAACTGCTTAACTTTGATTTGCAAGTTGCAGGTGAACAAAGAAAGATGCAATTGAATGAACTTGAAGAATGGTGGCACCAAGCTTATGAGAATTCTAGAATTTATAAAGAAAGAACCAAGGCATGGTATGATGCAAACATTAAAAAGAAATAGTTTACAGTTGGAGACAAGATTATTCTTTATAATTCTAGATTGAAGTTTTTTCCCAGCAAACTAAAGTTAAGATGGAGTGGTTCATACATAGTAACTAGAGTTTTTTCTCATGGTGCAATTAAAGTATCTAATGAAATTAAGGAGACTTTCAAAGTCAATGGGCAAAGATTGAAGCCTTACATACCATTCACTTGAAGGATCCATGAAAATGGAAACAGAGTCAAGCTAACGACTATAACTTAGAACTATATTTTTCATTTATGCACTTTAGGATTTCTAATTGTTTCATGTTTCGTTATTTCCTTTTAAGTTTTGTTTTAATTTTTACTTTCTCTTGTTATTGTTGTTTCCTTCTTCTCTTTTGATTGATGAAAGGTAGGTTGCAATTTTGGAGTCTATGGACAGGAAATTTCAGCATAGCATGTATAGTTGAAACCAAGACAAACTCAAAAGGAAGTTTATTTCCCTTCTTTTTGCCCTTTAATTTATTTAACATTGAGGACAATGTTAATGCAAATTTTTTGAAAATTTTTGTGAACCCGAGAGCATGGTATGATTACACCAATTTTTTTTATTTTTTATTTTTTTTGTTTTTTGAAATATGCTTTAGCTTAAGTTTGTGATTGCTAAATTTTTCTTGATGACTAAAAGCCTATGATAAATTCTTGATTGAAATCGAATATGACTTAGAAAAGAAAGATAAATTCTAATCCTAAGGATTGATTCATTCTCGTATTAATTCTATTGTGTCATGAAAGTTGAAATTCTTGAGCACATTATGCTATGATATTGTGAATTGTGTGCAACTTGGTGAATGATTATGTGAGCTATATGGAACAATATGATTATTATGTGATATTCGAGAACTTGTTTGATTAGCCTTTGAGGCAAAATCCTAAACAACTTATTACTTTGGAGATGATTTAGGCCATCTTTAGATCGTTTGAGCATTTTCAAGCTAACCTCGACATATTTCAATCCTTAGTTACCCTTTTGAGCATTTTCAAAAGAATGGCATATGCAAAGCATATGATTAGCCACCATTTAAATTATTTTCTTTAACACTCATTGTACTTAATCTGTCAAACCCGAAAAACCATTTAAATTATTCTTTCTTTGTTAGCCTCTACCTAGGCCTCACACTACAAGCTTAATAAAGACCTATTGATCTAAAGTTTTATGATTGTCTACATTAGTGGAGGACTATGAAGAGGAAGCCTATGGAATATCCAAAAATTTCAAAGATCCATTGGTTTGCAAAATTTGAGCTAAGAAGCATGCATGACACTCGAAAATTGGCAAAACACACACACACACTTCAATTTTTATGATGAGATTTTGTTAGCATAAGATTCATGATAATTCTTGGATGGTATTTTGAATACTTTCTAAGTTATATACCTTTTACAATCTTTGAGGCATATACTTTGGGAAATCAAGATAAGCAAAGCATGATCAATTCATGAGCTTAAGTATGATTTTATTCATATTTTGATCGAGGACGATCGAAAGCTAAGTTTGGGGGTATTTGATAAGCTTATATCTGTACACATTTTCATACCTCTAACTTGATGATTTTGGGTAATAATATTTTTGGAATTAGCATGGTATTGCACTAATTATGATGAAATTGTCTTGCAAGATGATTTGGAGCTTAATTGTGCAATTTTAAGGAGGAGTTCGATTTAATTGATCAAGATAATCATACAGGAAGGACCATGCAGCAATGATGCTCCATGATGTAGCCATGAAGGAGAGAATCCATTGAAAATGGATTTGATATGTATGCACAAAAATCTATTGAAATCGGATTTAATGAAATCTAAACCTTAGCTGCATCCATCCATCAATTTAGCTTTTATTAAGTTCTTGGATTTGCATTAATTCTTTTAGTTTTTATTCATTCAATTGATTTCCAAATTCAACTTAGGTTAGTTTAAAATTGATTTGGTACTATGATCTAGTCTCTATGGGATCGACACTTTTCTCATCATTATACACACATTTGATTAAGGTACACTTGCCTGAATTAATTATGCATAAATCACACAACAGGTACACCTAGTCTTATGGCATTGATTACTAGGAAACATTTATGCCAATAGCCAAGATGAATTCAATCTGAGTTATCATATCTCTTGCTGCCCACTATTCTTGGCCCTTGTATCAAATGGATATTAAGAATTCCTTCCTTAATGGAGACTTTCAAGAAGAAGTTTACATAGAGCTTCCTCTAGGAGTGAGCATCCCTGGGAGTGAAGGAAAGGTTTGTCGTTTGAAGAAAGCCCTTTATGGCCTTAAACTGTCCCCTCGAGCTTGGTTTCACAGATTTAGGAAAGTTGTCTTAAAACTTGGCTTATCGCAATCACAAGTTGACCATAACCTATTTATTAGGAGAGCTAAAGGAAAAATAACTATGTTGATAGTATAGGTCGATGATATTGTTATCACAAGGGATGATATCTCTGGGATTGCTAAATTGAGGTCTTTCCTCGCAACTGAATTCGAAATTAAGGATCTCAGAAATCTCTAGTATTTCCTAGGGGATGAAATGGCAAGGTCAAAGAGGGGCATTTATATTTCTTAGAGGAAATATGTCCTTG